GGGGGGGGGGGGGGGGGGGGGGGTGAAAGAGTGACTAGGGCGTACACGGTAGAGGTGCAGACCGCTAGTGTCTTTTATGCGCAGAGTCTTATCCTCTTGCTCTTTAGGTCCATTGACCCTCTCTTGAGCCTTGTAGCAGTCAAGCATGGACACACTATATCAGCTGTTGGAGTGGAACCCTGTACAGGAGGCTCTACCTTTCAGCAGGCACAAGATTCATGTCCACTTCTAGCTGATTGCGTATGTCGCATACTCTTTTTCTACTGCAAGGCTAAAACAGTCCAGCTAGCTCTGACAACTTAAAAGAAAACTACGGTGCCATATACTTACCTAATCCAGTGTGTTTCACACTTTGGAGAAGGTAATCTCATAGCTACTAAATACAGTGAGGGAGCAATAGCTGACTCACCTCAAGTACAAAATCAAATCGATAATGTACCTCGGCTGGAGACTGTACTTTTCGCAGGCGGAGATACCATGTATCGGCGCTCACTAGCTCTTTATGGCCTGAGCTAAATCAAACTAAAAAGGGAAAGCGGCTTTTTCTCTACAGAGACCTATAAAAGAATCAAACGACACTCGCGTAACAAAGAACTAAAAATTCAAGACCGCACAATGCAATGAATTAAGATGCCTTGCAAAATGCAAGGAGCGTACGGTCCGAGGAATAATCTTCTCGTGACGTGGTCTCGACCGCTTTCATTCACAGACAAAATAAACTGCATCAAAAGGACTCTCTTTCACATTCACATCAAAAACACAAGAAGGAGATACCGGCAAATGTATGTACAAAAAAATCTTGCACTACAATTGCAAATCTTGAAATGACTTAATCATCAACCATGACTGGTTGTCCATTAGAGGTCACTTCATAAGAGCGGCTGTGGTAGTTATCATCAGTTCTGAAAAACTGTCCATATCTACCTGCTAAAGCGTATAAACCTGGAATGCAGGAGTATCTTCTTTGATAAAAAGTTTCTCCTGATTGCAAACCAGAGTTCATTAAAACTTCAGCCTGGCAACTTAAAGTCAAGCCTGGAAGCAAAGTATCAACTGTAACCAGAAGTATCTTCACTTCCTAGCCATCATTTAAATTTTTAGCCTTCGCTCAGGAATTATGCCGCTGCAGACGATGAAGCTGCTTGACCAGAGGTTGGCGGCCTTCCTTTCTTTCTATTCTGTTTCTGTCTCTCCTTCCTCCGCAAGTTAGCCTCATGAAGAGTTGCTCCCATGCGATACTGTCTTCTGTCTCCAAATGAAAAGGAAGCTGGTCTGAGTGAAATAAACATTGGACCATGACTGTCCTCGTCAGTGGGCCTTGAGCACATAACCTCTGTGTCAATCATAGCAAAGTTCTCTGAAAAATTACAGATGAACTCCTTTGTGCTCACTGTGGAATTTTCATATTCCTCTTCACTCATTGAATGACCCCATTCAACAATGGTAGACAAACATGTATCGCCAAGCTGTGATCCTTGGTATTCTTCTCTTTCAACAGTAGAATATTCTTCCCAGAGTTTATCAAAGTAATCTTCACACTTCTTGAGGACCTGTGAAGTTGAACTGTAAAATGTTCTGGGAATAGGTGCTTTGATACCAAGATCTGCTTTTACACGAGCTTCTGAAAACTTGCGGATCCAATGCTGCATGGTGCTATAATAGTAGTTAGCCATTGGCTGCCTTTTGTACCCAGACATTCTGTAGGCCAAACTATTTGCATCACCAGAAATGATGTCCACCTCATAGACAAAACACTCGTAAAGCATCAATGCTGTCTGTTCTCCTGTCAGTAGGTGGGCATCCACAGCACGGTGTGTATCAACATGATAATTACAGACTCTGATGGTATGCATGTTCGCTCGAGTAAGTGGAACACGCTTGTCCTCAGGACCATAGTCATCAAATTCAAAGTCTGCATCCTTGAAATCTTGACGAGGCCTTGTTTCTCCAAAACAAATCTCGTAGATAGCCCAAGTTACATCACGCTGTTCACAGTGACCAAGATCTTGGTCATGTCCAGCAATGATCTTGACATATCCACCTGGTGCCAATCTAGCCATCACTGCAAGATTCTCCCAATCATTGAAACAAACTGTCCAATTCTTTTGCTCAATAAATTCCTTGGCAGGAACAAGAAGATGAGCTTCCTGGAGAATCACGACATGTGCACGTAAAAAGAAGAGCATGTTGAAGAAAAGATTGTTTTCAAATTGCTCATATTGAAGTGACATGGCACTCTGCTTGCGTGGCTTCATTGCACCATCAAGTCCTTGGAGAAACCTTGGTGTGGTGTACTTCTGACCACGAACCATGTTGCCATAGTTCCAGGATAAAAATGTCAAGGACTCTGAGCTGGCCAATAAATTAGTTCCATATGGTTCTTCTATTCTTCCCTTGAGGAACCTTCTGCACAGCTCTTCATAGAAGGTGACAAAGTCCCAACTGGGTCCCTTGGGACCATATTCTTCCAGTTCATTCTTGAGTTCCTTCTTCGTCTCCTCCAATTCCTTTCGAGCATGTTCTGCCCTTTCAAGGGCCTTTGGATCGACCTGATACCTGCCATCCAAATAAATGATGCGGTCATCATTGATGAAGAATCTCTTCAAATCATGCTCTGGTTCATGTTCATAACAATCAGGTGGAGGTACTGGACAGATATTACGAATGGATCGAACAAAATCATCCTCGTTGATCCTTGACTGATAATGAGGATGGGAAATCTCACCTTTTCTGAAACAAACATGATTCAGCAATCTTGCATGAGTTTCCCTGAAGCATAATTGATAAAAGCCAATACCTGGATCTCCTGTAATCTCTCCAAGCAACTTCAAAGGTGAAGTATGCAATTCATAGGTATCGTCAGCTTTTGCTGTATCCTTTTCAACAACTACTTCAGATGGAAAAGATTCTTGGATTTCAGCCTCCAATTTCTTCTCTCCATCATCCTCTCTGACCTCTTTTATTTTCTCCACCGCCTCTTTCTTCTCTTCCATGGTTGCATCATCCTGAACTTCTTCATGAAAATGAGGATCAGGAATCTTATTCAGGCGGCTTCTCTTCGATTTCCGCTGACCTGAAGTATCATCAAGGTTAGCATCCATCTCACCTGATGGTAAGTGCGATGCAGTCGAGTCCTCACCTATCTCTCTTGACAGAAAGTGTGGTGTTGACTCTTCCTTGGCTTCCTCCTGGTCAACTTCCATCTTTGGTTCCTCTGAAGGAAAAATACCTACATCTTCATCAAATATTTCTTCTTCCTTTTCAGGTTCAACTGCAGGATCTTCTTCAGGAACTTCCTCTTCCATATTCTCATCTTCTAGAAGTGTCATACTTCCATTATAGACTTCACCAGCAATAGTGGAGACTCTTGTATAAGGAGGAACTTCTTCACCTGCTTCAAAAGCTTGTTCTGCAACATCCTTGGTGAGCAAGTCCTCTACAAGATTTTCTCCCTCGGTTCTTGGAAGAGGTCCTGAGATCTCATAAAAATCTGTCCTCTCTGAACTGAAAGCTTCTGTCGCCTTCTCATTGTCCTTTTGATCCCTGAACAGGTGAGTAA